ACACTGCTGTCGCTTCCACCACCACCACCACCACCGTGTTGAAACAAAGGCGCGTTCTTCTGTATCTTTTCCCCATAAGTAAGAGCAAGGTAGCGCACCCACCATCATTTTGCCATGAGTGCATGTCTCTTTTTATTTTTATGCAAGTTGCATCGCTGTTGCTCTTCTGAATTGCTTGATGATGAACTGTGAAGTTGATGCTTAGCTGCTTGTGCAACTTTTCTTAAAGGAACTGGGTCTGAGAAGCACACACACATTACCCTCAACAGCCTAACGTATCAAGAAGAGGACACACCGCTAACATTGGTAATCCTATAACCTGGTTTTTCTTATGGAACCTTGTCATTTCAATAAAATACTGCCAGCTTTTTTTTTTAAGCATGTTCCATTGGGCAGGGACCCAACTTTGATATCAGATTGTAGTGAATCCTGCCTATTCAGGAGACTACCTATTATTAAGCACAATATGACTATTTTGATAACTGGCTTTCAAATGCAGATGATTTCTAGAGAGATCTCATTGTATTCTCTTAGCGAGAGCTTATGAACTTCAATAGAGCATTTAAAAAAATAGATGAAAACCTACATCGCTAATGTATTTCCTGTATGTGCCTTTGGAGTGTTTCCTGGGGACACAGGGATAAAAATCTCCTATATTTTAGAACCAAATAGCAGGAGACAAATCATGATAAATGGCATCTAGCGTTTGCCAAATAAATGATTTTATTTAGAGGGAATATTGAAGAAAAAACATAGGTACTTTTTATTATTGCACTTTTAAATTTTTTTGAAAAAGGAAGTTGAGAAAGCAATCAATATACTCATTTTTGTCAATATTCTCATTCTCAAATATTTACCAGACGTACTGTGGATTACAATCTTTTAAGATTATCGTCAGTTTTTCTAGTTCCTTTTTTATAGGAAAAAACAATACCTATCTGGTTAAAAAATGGAGACCAACTTACAGACCAATTTAAAAAACAGGACAAGCACAGTTATGCATTGGAAATGCCATATTTATTTTTTGAAAAAATAGATGAGAATTTTTCCCTTTCTTCAGAATTGGGTGTTTTTGTGTTTAAACCTTTAATACAAGGTGAGGAGGAAGATGGCTGACGTGCAGCTTGTGCCCAATCCCAAACCATTGGGGGCAGAGAGGCACGGGTGAGTCTGGCTGATGGGAGACTCTCCTCCTAGTGTGTCTCAGTACTCAGCTGAAGAGCTGACCAGGAGACACTGTCGTCTGAAGGATGCTGCAAACCCAGCTCCCCCAGAGCAGCCAGGAGGGAAGCAAGATGAATGCATTTTAAATCAAAAAGAGCAGCTCACGCCGTTTCTGGGCTGGGTGATAAATTGAAATCCATAAATATAGCAGTGCTAATTTGAAGCTTCATAATTGTTTGTGCCATGAGAATCTGTATGTTTAAAGGGGTTTTAAAAAGCAATTACTAGAAATGCTTCCCCTGAGAGCTGTAGGAGTGGGGGCATTTTCAGTCCATGGGAGCAACATAAACTCAAACCTCTTCTAGATGAATGGTGAGGTTGGGGGAGGGGATCACAGAATCGTTGGGAAGAGGTGAAGGGTTTGAGAAATCTAACTTAATGCCTAGAAAAAAAAAGGCAATTTCTGGAAATAGAAAAAATAATTTTGAAAGTATTAGAGGCTTCCAGACTTCCAGTGTGCAGCTGATCTTTCTGATCTCTTTAAACTTCTTTCTACTTACTGCCTTAATACCAGGTGCTTCTTCATAGGGTCCTCAAAGTTATTTACCTCCAGCTCCCTGATGAAAGAAATTTCTTTACATTAATTTGTCATGAAGGAAAAAGGTGATAGAAATACCAAGGCATTAATAACGTCATTGAATGGTAATGAACGTCAGTCACAGTTTCCTGTCCCCATTGCCCGGGGCTGTGCCTTCCAAGCAGGTGACAGACTGCAAGATGTGAACAAGTTTTTAATACTGTACCCATTGAGCTTCTTGCATCTAACAAGAGAACCATGTTTGTTTGCTTTTTTGTGAAATGGACTACTTCAGTGAAAATCAATTCCATGTAGTTCTGATAACTCTGTGACCTTGGACACTGGCTTTCTTTAGACACAGCTCTTCACACCTGCTGGTGTGGACACCAATTTGTACAAACTGTTGTCTCACACCTTGGCTCAAAGCCAAAAGAGAATTTTAATTATCTATCAAGCTGCCAAATTCTACTAATTACCCTTGTCAGCATACTTCGTTGATTGCTGAGTGGTGAATGAGCTACATATTTTTGTTTGGACCATGTCACTTATAAATTTTCAAAGCCTGGTGTAGCTTCTCTTGCAAAGAGAGAAGGGGGCCTCTCCTTCATGGATGTAGCTCAATTTAGCAAAAGTGAGCTTCTGAGTTTCGGCTCTTTTACTTCCTTAGAATTGCTAGTAGACTTCTAGACCAGACTGCTTGCTATTATTGATTTATAGGTCTTACTATTTAAACACACCCATGACTCTTTCTTTGGCCCTGTACACAAGGCCTGGTGGAGTAGCATCTTGGGGCAAGGAAACTGACCACCCTAATCTGCTCACCCCCCCCCCAGTGTCTGTGTATTGCTCATAGAAAGTAGGTGGTTACTCCCATCTGTAGGCTACATGTGGGCTGATCCTGGGCTGTCCCCTGCTTTACCTAGGTCCACAGGTGATCAAGAGGTTCCCCCTCACCTTCTATTTCCTGAACCCTATCTCTGATGTAGTCCGGTGAGGATTCTTCGAAATCTAACAGACTCTTCTTTGAACTGTGATACCTTCTTGGCAGGGCAGAACCTCTCTTGGAACCATGGTCTGTTACTCATCCTTTCAGCCTGCTCAGTCTCCTCATTGTACGTGTTCTAGATGGAATTCAGCAAGGGTAATAGCTTTCGACCTCTCGAGGGTGGTGGAGGCTGTATCCGAGTGTGTGCACCCTTGTTTCTCCCTTGCCAGGAGTCAGTTTGTCTCCTGTCTGTTACCAGATGCTGTAAAGGGTCTGATGGTTCCTGCTTCCTCGTACCCCCGCCCCCTTCAAGCTTAGTCTTCTAACTGCTTTTATTCTTGGCTCCAACTCTTTCAATGATGAGGGGACTGCTTTTTCTGTTCCACGTCACTGCCAAGTCAAGGCCCAGCATGCAGTCACTTATAGCCTGATCTCAGTCACGCACAGCATGAGAGCTGCAGGTAAGCCCCGGATGTTGCCGGATTATGGCGGACGAATCAAAAGTGACTCTCAGACAGCAATTTACAAATGCATGGAATGTTTTGCTCTCTAGACAGACTGCCGGAATTTCTCTTTGCTAATTCCTATTTGTAGTGATAACATTTTTCTTTTTGTGATTTTTTTTTTTTAAGAATAGTGTAGTACCTTGAAACAATTGCAGTTCTAATCTGTCACTATTTCTATTTGACAAGTTCCAATTCTTTCACAATTATTGTATTCAGTTGTGCTCTAGTGTCAATAAAATTGACATTTGTGAAGCGTTTTCTGGCCTTTTTCTCCGGGGTTTTCTGGGTCTGGTGGTGTGTGGGAGTGATGGGGGTCTATGTCTGACACAGGACTTCATTTTAGTGAGATATGTGAACAACATAAGGATTGAAAAGCGGAGGGGTATTTTTAAATGCAAACTCATTGAATCTGCCTTTTCCTAATTTTCCCATTTTCTAATCTTGTTATACAAGGGTCATTGTCCTGACCAATAGTCAGTGGGCAGGGACCTCTGTTTGTATCATTCTCTGGGTACAGTGGTGTCTCCGCCACTGCGCTGGTAGTACAACTAACTGGTCAACCCAGGACCAGAGCAGGGGCTGGTGGTGGTTTCTCCATGGTTTGTCGGGGTCAAATTCACTGTCCTGACTTCATCAGCTCCATGCTAGGCTGTTGTATCTCTTAATTCCAGAATGCACATGAATAACTCCAGAGGGTGAGGATAGATGTCAGGAAAGTGGGGGTGTGCCCAGAAAAATGCACCTTTCCCTTGGAGATTTATAGTGAGCCTGACACTATACACTGAAAATGGAGAAGGCATTGACTGTGTCTTTCCTTATAATGGTAACAGACAGGACTGCAGGTTACTTTAACTTTGTTTCCTGAATATTATCTCTAGGAAAACCACTAGAATTATAAATGTGAGACAAAAACACTTAGGTTAGGTGAGAAGTATTTTTGGAATCATCCGATGTGGATTCAATGGATTGAGGTACAGACAGTTGCAAAATTACATTGGCAAAGAGTGTCCTGTCCACATCATCTCCCTTGGCTAACTCATGATGGGTAATATGTACATTTGCATATTATTTACTGAGGTATCCTTGTTCAAGGACTAATTATCTGCCACTTTTGACTCATAAAGGGGAACTGTGATAATGTGATGACCTCCAACTTTGCATTTTTAAGTGATCACTTTTGCCTGTCATGTGATGCTAGTGTTTCTGTCCCAAACAGTGAGAGACATGGAATGACGTCACCAGGTATAACAAGCTTGCTTCTGTTCTTTGTAGAGTGGGGAGTTAGTTGCTTGATCTTTCTGTTAGCTTTGACCCATCGTTATGAGAAGTAGCGTGTCTTAAGTACACCAGTCGTGTAGATGCCTATTAGTATAGTTCTATTTCCTAATCATTTGCCGTGTGTCTTGTTGTGATATAGACACTGTGTCTTCCTTGAGTAATTTCTAGCAGCAAAGGTAGTAGTTGGGAGATAAAGATACTATTTTAGGACACACTGTGCTTTTCAGCTGTTCTAATTGTTAGCTAAGCAGCATTCTCTATCTTATTAATTACATAACTGAGGCTCCATGGAAATTTTTATATTTTGGTGTCTTTAATGTTAAAGCAGCTGCAACTTAGGGGTAAAAAAGCTCGAAAATCATGAATTGCATTAAATGTGCCCTAGAGTAGTCAAGGTTCTAAAGGTTTTAAATGGTGGAAGTAGTGAGCAGAAATGGGGTCCCAGAAAAAATTACTCTTTTTCTTTTTAAAACTTCTCATTCCCAAACAGGCTCCCTGACTGGTAGCCCCCACCTTTCAGAGCTGTCCGTCAACTCGCAGGGAGGAGCTGCCCCGGCCCACGTGACCTTGTCTCCCAACCTGAGCCCCGACACCAAGCAGTCCTCTCCCCTGGTCAGCCCGCTGCTGAACGAGCAGGCCTGCCCCAGGACAGACGACGAGGACGAGGGCCGGAAAAAGGTGCTGGGGCGGGGCTCGCCGTGTGTGTGTCCCCTGCGTGTGCATGTGTGCATGTGTGCATGTGTGTGTCTTTAAAATTGTAGTAAAATACGCGCCACACAAAATTCGCCGTTTTAATGTGTGTTGAGTTCAGCGCCACCAAGTACATCCACGCTGTTGCACAGCCATCCCCACCATCCATCTCCAGAACTTTTTCATTTTCCCAAATGGAAGCTCTGTCTCCATGAAGGGACAGCACCCCACGCCCCACCCCCAGCTCTGGCCACCACCATCCTGCTCTGACTCCATGAACTGGCCTGCTCTAGGCAGAATCACACTGTAGAAGTGGAATCACACCGTATCTGTTCTTTTGTGTCTTGCCTGTCTCACTTAGCGTAATGGCTTCAAGGTCCATCCATGTAGTGTGCGTCCAAGTCTCCTTTCTTTCTAAGACTGTGTGATGTCCCATTGCATGTATAAACCACACATTGGTACCCACTCCTCTGTTAATGAGCCATCACATGTTCCCCGCTCTGGGCTACTGAACCTAGGCATACAGGTATTGGTTCGAGTCTTTCCTCTCAGTTCTGCTGTGTGTGTATGCCCAGAGGTGAGGTTGGGTGGAGTCTGGGTGGGAAGTGGGCATAGTTGCTGGCTGCAAAGGACTTCCTTGTATATTTACCGTTCAAAAAGAACACCAAGCCTGGCTGCCACCTAACGATAGCCTCCAGGGAATTGAGGCCCAAAGGTATCAACAGCTGATCTTGCCTTTGTCCCTTTATATCCTGCCACCTGTGTTCCCACAGAGTAACTTCTGCATCTTAGACGCCAACGCTGCCAGCCTATGGCACCAGGACAAAGGATGAAATCGTCTGTCCTTCACTTATTTCCTGGCAGACTGTTTCCCTCTGCCAGTTTCCTAATTAGAATCCTTTTGTTGATGGTAGCCTTGCATGGAAGGACACCTTCCTAGACTGTCCTTCTCATTGTGGAAATCCAATCCCTGATTCTCGTTCCTCTAACACAGAGAGGAGAATAAATAAGAGTTTATTTAGCATTAATGCCACTTAGCAAAAGATTGCAAGGTAGCAATATGTCACTTTAATCAGGACATTCCTAGAGACTTATTCTCAAAAGCGATGATTGTGTCTTATTTCTTATGATGGATTCTGCAGAGATTCCCAGCTGACAAAGCATACTTCATTGCTAAAGAAGTATCTACCACTGAGCGGACATATCTGAAGGATCTGGAAGTCATTACTTCGGTACGTATAGGATCACCCCGAAAGCATCAAATTGCATAATGTATTGCAACTAATACTCAGCTTTATGAAAGAAGCTGGATCCAGTTAAATGTTGGGGTTTGCCTGAATTCACAGGTTCGAGATCAGCCCGCGCACCTTGGCGAGACCTCATCTCTACAGTAAATCAAAAAATTAGCCAGGTGTGGTGGCGCGTGCCTGTAGTTGCAGCTACTTAGAAGGCTGAGGGGGAAGGATCACCTGAACCCAGCAGGTCGAGGCTGCAGTGGCTGCAAGCGTGCCCCTGCACTCCAGCCTGAGCGATGGAGTGAGACTCCAACTCCAAAAACTTTTTAAAATAAATAAATAAATGTTGGGTTCTCTGACTTCAGTTGAAAGGATTTGGGTCCTTGGGGTTTAGAAGCTAAATGCTGATGTAAATTTAATTTGGAATATACACTCTAAAAATTTTTATAATTGTGATTTTTAAGTACAAAGGATGAAAGTCCTAAGGTGAAGAAAATTAAAGTCAAACACTTTACGGTTTGCCTGCGCCAAGCCAGAACATTTCGTGTTTTGCTCATTATCAGATGGAAATACTTCTTTTTGTTCGAAGGAGACCTCAGAGGTGACCTGGGGCCTCATTTTATCTTTGATAAGAGACTGAACCAGGTCAGCAAAATCTGCCAGAAGACTGTCTTTTCTTAATCAGTCTTATTTAGTCTTGGAAACACACTCGGCATTGTAGATTGTCTTTCTGACCTCTGAATTTTGGGAAAGAATTGGCCAGTTGGGAGGGAAATTAGAGTCGGAGCTTCTGTTCCTCCTGGGATGTGTATTGTGTTCTGCTTCCAGCAGGCCCTTGGGTAGCTTTGAGGAGCCCAGTCCCAGCCCACCTCTGCGGCAGGAGTGGAGGCGGCTGCTGTATACTCAGTTTGGCCACCCTCATGCTCAGCATTTTGACAAAGGAAGAGATGGCATTCAGTTGTCATAAATGAGTGATTATCCAATGGGTTGGCCAGAACGGAGGTTTTGGCTCGAGTGGTTGCCCATTTAAGAGATTTGTGCTGGCTAACACAATCAATGGGAAACACATTTCTGAAAGCAATCACAGCCAGGTGGGTGCTTCCCACCCCAGCCAATGAAGGAAGGGGGAGAGTAAGACCGGGACCTTTGTGCTTCCAAGATGCTGAGAACTGAGCAGTGAAACCCGGGCCCTCCAGCCACATGGCTGCAACAGTCCTCCACATTCCTTCTGAAGAACTGCAGACACTTGTCATTCATCTTTACGCTGCTGAGTGTGTCTTCTTTCCAATCCCAGTGGTTTCAGAGCACCGTGAGCAAAGAGGACTCCATGCCGGAAACCCTGAAGAGTCTCATCTTCCCGAATTTTGAACCTCTGCACAAATTTCATACCAACTTTCTCAAGGAAATTGAGCAACGACTTGCCCTGTGGTGAGTACAGCTCTGTTGAACAGTTCTCTCTCTGTCTTGTTATCTTTGTGTTGTTTCTTGAAAGCAGCAGACAGGAGCAAAGATGGAAGGCAGGAAACCGGCTTAAGGCAAGCCAGTCCTACGGTGATTGTCAGTTAGATTCTGCAAGTATTTAGATCTCATTTCTGTTTGTTTCCTTTGGTTTTCAGTTCTTCAGAATGCCTTTTCCTCTTGTGATAATTATATGATTATCACAAAATAATGACAGCAGTTACTTTTGGAGGCATGGTAGAGCTGAAAGAGTAGAGACATAGGACTTTCAGGGGTGTCAGTGATATTAGTGTTTCACGGGTACTTGTTTAAAGTCATTGGTTAAACATGTATATATATGTGTGTCTTGTGCAGTTTTCTGTATTATATTTTACAGTGTGTAAGAAGTGCTTTAAGGCCGGGTACAGTGTCTCATGTCTATAATGCCAGCACTTTGGGAGGCTGGAGCAGGAGGCTTGCTTGAGACCAGGAGTTCGAGACCAGCCTGGACAATATAGTGAGACCTCATCTCTACAAAACAAATAAAAAAATTAGCTGGGCATGGTGGCATGCACCTATAATTCTAGCTACTTCAGGAGGCTGAGGTGGGAGGAGCATCTCAGCTTAGGAGGCCAAGGCTGCAGTGAGCTGTAGTCGTGCTACTCCACTCCAGCCTGGGCAACCGAGTGAGATCCTGATTTAAAAAAAAAAAAAAAGAAGCGTACTAACGCAGGCGCAGTGGCTCATACCTATAATCCCAACAACACTTTGGGAGGCTGAGATGGGAGGATCGCTTGAGGCCAGGAGTTTGAGACCAGCCTGGGCAACATAGCAAGACCCTGTCTCTTCAAAAAATAAAAAGTAAATTAGCCAGGTATTGTAGCGTGTGCCTGTATAGTCCCAGCTACTCTGGAGGCTGAGGTGGGAGGATTGCTTGAGCTCAGGAGTTTGAGGCTGCTGTGAGCTAGGTCATATCACTGCGCTCCAACCTAGGTGACAGAGATCTTGTTTCCCAAAAAAAAAGTGCTTTAAAAAATACAAAGCCCTATGCAATACACACACACATACCCACAGTTATGCCTTGAATTATCATAAGAATCTATTTTAATATGTGAAATGCCATTTGAACAAAGACATCCAATGCAGAATTAAAACATTAGAAATGACCTAAATGTCTATCAGTAGCAGATTGGTTAAAAATAATGTTAAGTCTATCCATTAAATACCAGATGAACAGTAATATGGGAGAAGAGGGAAGTAAAAACAAAACAGGCCGGGTACAGTGGCTCAGCCTGTAATCCCAGCATTCTGGGAGGCTGAGGTGAGAAGATTGCCTGAGCCTGGGGGTTCAAGACCAGCCTGGGCAACTTGGTGAGACCTCGTCTCTACAATGAATCACAAAAACTAGCCAGACATAGTGGCGTGTGTCTGTAGTTCCAGCCACTTGGAAGGCTGAGGCAGAAGGATCGCCTGAGCCCAGCGGGTCAAGGCCACAAGCATTTCACTGCACTTCAGCCTGAGCAACAAGAATGAGACTCCAACTCAAACAAACCTGGAAAAACTTTGCTTATTGTGGAATGCAAAATCTGTTGTGCCTTTACCTAAAGTAGAACATTTGCAGGAAATTCTTATGGGGTTTTGAAAGACAATTATATGTAGACAGATGCATAGGGAGTTGATTGTCCACTAAACGTGCTTTTGAGAAATGCCAAGAGAAAATAGCGAAAGGTTCTACTGTATTTGGGCAGAAATAGAACCCATTGTGTGTCATGTCCTTGCTATAGTTGAGAGTGTGGTTGACAGTGGTCTCAGAGGCACTGAGGTGACCACAGGGCCTGAAGAAGCCTGGATGTAGTTGTTTTGCCTCGGGTGATCCCAGACTGTGGTCTTCAAGTATCAGTTTAATAGCACAGCAGAGCTGTTCCCTTGTTGAGAAGCCAGTGTGCAAGGGCCAGCATGAGCACTCTAATCCCCCCAACTGGTGTCCAGCTTTGGACATTTTTTCCTGCCTGGAGGATAATTCATGTGCAATTCTCCTTCCCTTAGGAGGGAAGGCTTTCCTAAGAGGCTCCAGGAGGGAGAGCACAGCCAGAATTGAGAAATAATCGGTACAATGTCAGCCTCCCCGAAAATGGGAAAAAATGGAAAACGCTGCCTTAGCAAGAGGCTCAGGATTGCAATAGAAAAGAAATGCCACTTTTCAGAATTAAAAGTAAAAATCCTACCCAATCAAAACGTGGCTTCCCAGACTTTACATGGTACCTCTCAGCCATGTTCTGCCATGCTTCTTATCATTTTTACAAGGTCAAATGATGCTCTCATATTGGGGCCAAAGACCTCACGCACAGCTCTGCAGAAGCCATTTATCAGTTGTTCTCTGGCCAGTTAGACACATGTGAATACAGTCTTAGACAAATCTTCCTGTAGGCTCCGAGCATCTTGGGCTGGTGTCTTTAGCAGTTTCAATCCAGTGTGACCATTGATTTAAAGAATATAGGAGACATTTGGGAGATGTCATCAATTTGCGGTACCCTGGCAGTCCACCATGGAGGCTTCAGTCGGCTCCTGGACTGGAGGATACCACCAAAGAGGAATTTAGAGAGCTGTCTGATACATCCCATTTGAGGAATAACCACCTTATTCATGGATTTATCTGTGATGATAAACCTTCAGCATCTGACCCTTATCTGTGAAAGAATATCCAGTTGCATAAAAAGCAGCTGAGGTCATTTGATTCCCAGAGGATTTTCAGTTGAGTGTCTTCCAAAGATCCATACACAACCTTTCTTGTGTTCTACTAGAAGATACCAGAAGCATGTAAAAAGACTGGGTGCAGTGACTCATGCCTATAATCCTGAGACTTTGAGAGGCCAAGGCAAGAGGATAGTTTGAGCCCAGGAGTTTGAGACTAACCTGGGCAACATGTAAGACCTCATCTCTACAAAGAATTTTTAAAAAATTAGCCACACGCAGTGGCGTGCATCTATAGTCCCAACTACTCTGGAGGCTGAGGTGGAAGGATTGCCTGAGCCTCAATGAGCAATGATCAAGCCACTACACTCCAGTCTAGGCAACAAAGTGAGACTCCAACAACAACAACAAAAAACAAAAAGACAAAAAGCTAGAGAGACAACAGATAGTTAATAAGCAGCTCAATCAACATACCTGCAGTAGCCTTGCACCCGTGGTCCCAAACCAAACAGATGACACATCAGAAATCAATGGAAAGGGCTGGGTGTGGTGGTTCACACCTGTAATACCAGCACATTGGGAGGCAGAGGCGCAAGGATTGCCTGAGCCCAGGTGTCGAGACCAGCCTGGGCAACATGGCGAGACCCCATTTCTACAATAAATCAAAAAATTACCTGGGTGTGGTGGCGCACACCTGTACTTCTAACTACTTGGAAGACTGAGGCAGAAGCATCACCTGAACCTAGGCTATGGTGAGTGGTGAGCCATGAGCGTGCCACTATACTCCAGCTGAGGTGACAGAGTGAGACTCCAACTCAAAAAAAAAACAAAACAATCAATGGAAGGGGCTGCAGCAAAGTTCAACTCATGAGTTCCTCAAGTGCATGGTGAGGAAGACCTGGCTTGGCAGGAATTCCAAGGGAAAAAAAGGCTGAGTGTGAATACAGGGAGAAACCAATGTCTCCATGTATCTATAGCTCTGAGCATTGGCTGTCATTAGAACCACCTGGAGCCTTTGGAAAATTGTAATAATCAGTCAAAACCCCAGACCAGTTGCATCAGAATCTCCAAGGGTTAGAGCCTAAGCATTGGTATTTTCTGAACCTTCCCAGGTAATTCCAACACATGGCCAAGTCAAGAACATTTGCCCTGGATTGCCTCATTAGAAAGAGCCCAGAGCCTGGAAAAGGGTGGCTCTTCGAACTTCAAGACCCAGAGCTCACACAACACTGCAGCAGTTCTGAGTTTCACATGAAGTGGGCTGGTGAGAATGCATACCCTTAAAAAACAAGAGGGACTAGGGCATTTGGCCTGGGAAGGACTCTAGGAAGCCTGATGGTTATCTTCAGAAATCTGCAGGCTGGTCCTACTGAAAAGGGCACGTGCATCTTCATAGTTGTACCAGAGGATAAGATAGAAACAAAGCAGTGAATTTGCCTATAACCATAGTGTCTGCACACAGAAAAGGATTTCTTAAGACTGAGTGCCGTGGAGCAGTGAGGGACTGCCCTGTGAGGTTTCAACTCTTCCACTCCTGAGGTTTCCCAGCAGAGGCTGGCTATTTCCAGAAAGGGTTTACCTGTGGAGTGAAACCCCAAATCTTGCAGTGCATCAGGGTCTCGGGGGGTGGGGAGCCAGAGGGGGTATTGAAAAAATGCAGACCACCAGGCCCCATTCTGCCCTCTTGAGTCAGAACTTTGAGGGTGAGTCCCAGAAATGTGTTTGTAAAGTACTTCTTGAGTAAATTATGATGAATACCTTTTCTGGAACAACTGACCTGGCAGTGCCTCTGACAAACCTAAAATTCTCTGATCCTTGGTTTGCGTGTCACAGACTGATTATAACTGTTTCTTTGTTCTACAAGCAATGAATGAAGGAATATATGAATGAATGAATGAATGAACAAATGAGTGGGCACGTGAATGTGTGTCGGGCTGTGCCCATGGGTACTTGCATTGTCAAAGAAAGAGGTAAGCCAGGAGTGGTGGCTGAAGCCTGTAATCCCAGAACTTTGGGAGGCCAAGGTGAGAGGATTGCCTGAGCCCACAGATTCAAGAACAGCCTGGGCAACTTGGCAAGACCTTATCTCGGCAATAAATCAAAAATTAACTGGGTGTGGTAGCGTGAGCCTGTAGTTTCAGTTACTTGAAAGGCTGAGGTGGAAGGATTGCTGGAACCCAGCAGGTCAAGGCTATGATGGCTGTGAGCATGCCACTGCACTTTAGCCTGGGTGACGGAGTGAAACTCCAACTCATAAAAAGAAAAAAAAGAAAGAGGCAGGCACATAGGGCCAAGAAGGC